AAAAAAAAAACCTCATATGCCAGTAAGTCTGTTCATGTCCAGTTTTATTCCCCCCCGTTATAAGAAAGAGATGCACCCTTAAAGGTAATCCGGGTATTGACAACCATATTTCCATCTTAATATAATAATTTTTATAATAGATTTAGCAACTGAAGAAGTATAAACCTTCCTAGAATTGCAAGTATTAGGATTTTCTAGAGGTGGGAGATAGCAGCGTAGTATGCAAAAATCGAAATTAATTTGAGATTTCTTTCTTATTTAGAAGGTAATTTAAGCCAGGTGCCAGGGGCTCATGCCTGTAATCCGAGCTACTCAGGAGGCAGAGATCAGGAAGATTGTGGTTTGAAGCCAGCCTGGGGAAATAGTTTATGAGACCCTATTACAAAAATACCAAAAGCAAAAAACAGGATTGGTGAATAAGAGTGCCTGCCTAGCAATTGTGAGGCCTGGAGTGCAAATGCTAGTACCCCACCACCACCACCCAAAAATGTCATTTAATTTTACCTTACAATATAGCTTGTAAGACCCTATCTTGAGAAAATCCATCACAAAACAAAGAGCTGGTAGAGTGTCTCAAGGTGTTGGCCCTGAGTTCAAACCCCAGTACTGCCAAAAAAAAAAAGTGTAAGTGTTTAAAACTTTACAGTGAAACATTGGAAACAAATAAGTAGAAAGTCTTAAGGAACTCTCCTATACCTACTACCCAACTTCAACAAACACTAATACTCTTTCTTGCTCTATCTACTCTTATCCCTCTGTGCCTATTTTTTAGCTGGAGTGTTTTAAAACAAATCTAGAAATCATATTTTGCATTCGTAAATACTCCATATATATCTCTTAACAGATGAGAAAAAAATCTCTGCAATCACAATTTCATCTATTCCCAGTAAAGTTAGAAATGACTCCTTAATGTCATCTGATATCTAGTCTGTGGTTTGTTTTCTCTGTTACAAAAAATGCCTTTTTTCACTTTATTTGAATTATTGTTCAAAGTGTGCATTTTGTATTTATCTCTTAAATATTTCATCTATTATATTTTTCCCCCCCTCCATGGCATTTTGTGTCATTTGTTCTGCAGGTTTTTCTGTATGCTGGCTTTGACTGGTTGCATCTTCCTGGTGTTATTTAACCTTACCTCTATATATCTTACTTATCATGGCTATTTGATAAATCCAAAGCCATAATTAGATTATAATTTGTTTTCAAGCAATAGAAAATTGAGCCATACTTAGATCATATTGTTACTAGAAATAAAAGATTCTACAGAGTGACATTTATGAGGAGTAAGAAGAATGGCTGTCTATTATAAGTACCTCAGGTTTCCATCATGTAGTTTTTCTAATAAATCAGTGGCATATGGGGAGTTGTATAATGACATGAATCTTATGATTTTAAAATTTAAGACTTTGTAATGATTAGAGAAGCAATCTTGATAAGAACTTCTAACTTCTTTAAGTACTTGAAACATCAAATAGACGTAAAATCCTTGTGTGATTTTTAGGTCATTAAACAAGAATTAGTTGAATGTTAAAATCATGCTCTATTTTCTTACAGTGGTTTTTAGACCGCATGGCTGATGATGACTGGTGGCCAATGCAGATACTAATTAAGTGTCCTAATCAAATTGTGAGACAGGTAAGGAAAGATGTATGTAAAAAAGAAGTGGCTTTTAATTAAATTATTCTCAATTTGCCTGTAAATATATCTTAACCCAGCACTGGAAATAGTTTGAAAAGATCTGCTTCCTGTCATAAAGTCATTTTGCTATTGTTTTCATCAGCCTCTTTTAACATCAACTCTCACTCTAATCGAGGGATTAAAATTAAAAAGCATTTCCTAGATTTAACAAGATGAAGCTATAACTGTTGGTTCTTTTTCAAATCATTAATCTAACCATGGTAGAGTACTATGGTGGTCTAGAAAGTTAAATGAATATGGTGTAATTCATTTTTGTGACAAGGTCTATATTATCATTGGGTTGGTTTGTTTCCCTTAAATCACTGGAAAAAAAGTTACACAAAGAATATTTAAATACTGCTTTATGGTCAAAATGATATAAAACCAAAACTTACTATGCCACTTTCCACTTAACTGAAACAGAATTCTTACATTGTTCAAATTCACTCAAACTTTTCAAAGCATAAAATTTATTAGTGTTTTTTTTTTTTAGAATAACCATAAACACTATCTAATTTTAGAACATTCATCATCCCAAAAAAGCAACCATAGTTCTATTAGCAGTCACTCCCTTTTTTATCTGCTTCCTTCTCCCCAAACCCATAAAAATTACTGATCTACTTTATGTCTCTATGGATTTGCCTATTTTGACAATTTTATATAAATGAAATCAGATAGTATATACTCTTTGACTTGCTGCTTTAACTTACCAATCTTTTTAGAATTTTTCCATGTTATATCATATAGCCATACTTCATTTCCTGTTTTTTTCTTTGCCAAGTAAATTCTATTAAATGAATATGGCACATTTTGTTTTTGTGTTCATTAACTGATGAATACTTGGACATTTCTACTTTTTGGCTATTTTGAATACCAGTACATGAACATTTGTGTAAAAGTTTTTGTTTGGATATATATTTTCATTTCCTTTGGTATATACTTAAAAGTAGATTTGGTGGGTAATGTAGTCACTCTTGCATTTAACTTTTTTACTTCTACTGAACTGTTGTTTTTAGTGGCTACACTGTGCATTCTTCCTATGATCTATGAGGGTTCCAGTTTCATTGCATCTTCAACACTTTCTATTACTGTCTTTTTTATTTTTGCCATCTATGGGTATGAAGTGATATATCTTTGTGGTTTTGGTTTGCATTTCCTTAACAACTAGTGATGTTCGAAATCTTTTCATGTGTTAATTTGCCACTTTTATATTGTCCTTAGAGAATCCCTGGCCATTTTTAATCCATGTTTCTTTTGGATAAACTTTTTTTATTCTGGCCATACTTGAGTTTGAACTTGGGACTTCACACTTGCTAAGCAGGTGCTGTACCACTCAGCCATGTTCCTAGCCCTTTTTTGCTCTAGTTATTTTTCAAATGGAGTCTTAATGTTTTTGTCGGTGCCAGCCTCAGACCCTGACCTATGACCTCCAGCAGAACTGGAAACCCAAGTGCTGCATTACCATACCCAAATTATTTGTTGAGAGATGGGGTTCTCACTAACTTTTTGTTTGGATTGGCCTCGAACTATAATCCTGCTCTCTGCCTCACAAGTAGTTGAGATTATAGGCATGAACCACCACATACAGCTTGGATAAATTCAAGTCATATTTTCTTCTTTGAACTGTTGACAGTGATTAGTAGCTGTCTTGTCCAACTCTAGTTTTCTGAAGTGGGTGCTATATTTTCTTTATCTTTATATCTCCACCTCTTAAAAAGAACTTTATGAAGCTTTGATTTTGGTAATCTCTATTTCTGAAACCAAGTTGGCTGGCCTTATACTCCCAATCATAAAACTTAAATTTTATCTTATTTGATTTATTGATTGATTTTTGGTGCTAAGGATCAAAGCCAGTGCCCTGTGTATGCTAAGCATGCACTCTATTACTGAGCTGTGTCCCCAGCCCCTGAGTGTTGTTGAATGCTGTTTCCTTGTTGTGATTCCCTTGCCTTTGCCTCTGAACTGCTAGGATTAGAGGGATTCCCCATCAAGTCGAACAAATAGGTTTAATTTTTATTAACTTTGTTACCTGAGGTGAGTTGGCTGCTAAGTCTTTACATTTTTTCCTTTATAGATGTTTCAGCGTTTGTGTATCCATGTGATTCAGAGACTGAGACCTGTGCATGCTCATCTCTATCTGCAACCAGGAATGGAAGATGGGTAAGAAGTACTTGCTGAACATTCAAAGCTTTATGCCAGTCTACCTACAAATATACGCAGAAAGATATTTAGGGTGTTCTATTTAAAAATCATCTGTAATAATACATGTCAAGAACGAAGGACTGTTTTTGTTTCATTCTTTAATTAAGTTCATCTGCAAAATGCTCTGCAAATAACTTGAAGGCTTAGTCTTTTTGTTTGGACTGATCTGGATAGTCACAATAAATAGAGGGGTATAACTCTATTGTTGCAGTTAGTATGCATTCTTACAAAAATAAAGGAGAAAAGTAAATCCAAGGTTTTAAAAATATTTTCCTTCCAGACAATGTCTGCCCCAGGCTTAATATTCTGTGAGACAAATTTAAATTTTTTTTTTAGGTCTGATGATATGGATGCCTCAGTAGAAGATATCGGTGGCCGTTCTTGTGTCACTCGATTTGTGAGAACTCTGCTATTAATTATGGAACATGGTGTAAAACCTCACAGCAAACATCTTACAGAGTATTTTGCCTTCCTTTATGAATTTGCCAAAATGGGTGAAGAAGAGGTGAGCATCAGTCTTGCTTATTTCTTGAATTATGTACCAATTTTTAGTATTTGAAATTTAATTGTTTTTAATTTAAATTTTTAAATCAATTTTTAGAGCCAGTTTTTGCTTTCCTTGCAAGCCATATCTACAATGGTACATTTTTACATGGGAACCAAAGGACCTGAAAATGTAAGTGTAATTCTATCTTATTCCAGGCATGTGGGGGTCATTTCCCAGTAATTGTCAACATGCAAAGTCTTGTGACACTAGAACCCTTTAAAATTCCTGCTTCTTTTTTTTTTTTTTTTTTTTTGCAT